AAGCTCTAAACCAATGCAGTATAGCACATAATGAGAATCCATAAGCCCAACAAAACATCTGGAATTGTCTTCCCCAATCTGGTGCCCACAAGATGTATTAAGACTGAGTTCTCAGTCAGTATCTGGAAGGTTAGTGAAACTGTCCTAAGTGTGGCCACATTTTGCACAACTTTGTGTATGTCAGAAGTAGGTCAAGAAGAAAGTATCAGGGACAGGGAGATAGAAAGATTACAATAATTCTATTCTGTGAATAACTGGTAAGAACTGAACAAGCCTTGGCTTGTCAACCTTCAATCTATTGAAGACTGATTCAAGTGAAGCAAAGATGAAGTGGTGGAGTGACTCACTGTAGCTAAAAGCTAGGCATGTATATAATTTGTTGAACTGGCACAAGAATATGGCACATGCTAAACTGTAATTTTTTCATACCAGAGGTAGAAACATTCCTACTTCTCCAATCTTAGTTTGCAGTGAGCTGCCATATGTGGCTGGTAGGTTGTGGCTGGCTAAAGAAATCATAAGTTGTTCTATCCTATTTGAATAGACTCTTATATTCTTCTACCTGATATATGCTCCAGGTCACACAGGCTTAAAAGCTGTATAGCCATATCACTTTGGGAAACACTGTTGTATAATGCTTCTATATAAAAATACAAAATAGTAGTATGAATAAAAGATTAGTATAGGGGAGTCAGGGTTAATGTTTGTATCTGGTGTCTGTTGTATTACAAAGAGCAACCCTATTATCTCAGTACCATAGAAAAAGTAAAAGAGGAAGTGGATACACATAGAATTAGAAAAGTGATTAAAATACTTGAAATTTAAAAATCCAGTAATATATTTTAATCACTGGCACATCGATATATGTACAAATGTACTGGCACAAATCATGATGTTATTCAGATATTGGAAAAATTTTATTCTAATGCCCTAGAAGTATATTCTTTGTAATTGGCATAATAGAGCAATGTTTGCATACATTAAATAGTACTTAGAAAGTTACAATTCTGCTCATAAGTTTATCAACAGAAAATAGAAAGCACGCAGGTGAGTTTTATGCTTTCTTTTTTACTCTTCCTGTTCACTTCTGATTAAAAATTAAAGGGTAAATTATCATAAAATTTTGAAAGCATTGCTTGGCTGCAGAGTCCAATTACACTGCTAAGCTGGAACTCTTAAAAGACTTTTAAAATTTTCTTTTTTCTTCAGTATAACTTTCAGAGATAAAAGATTTTTGAAGACAACTCCACGATGCCAGGAAAAAGGCATAACAGCTTTAATGCATTGAAAATGGATACTACATGAAGCATTGCATAGCCCTAATATTGCGTTTTGTAACAATTTCTAATAACTGAGAGCCAGTGTGCTATAATGATTAGTGTTTGGGGAGATCAAGATTCAATTCCACCTTCAGCCATGGAATTTCACTGGGTGACTTTAGGCCACTCATTCTCTGTCAGCCCAACCAACTACACAGGGTTGTTTTTGTAGGAAAAATTGGAGGAGAGAATGGTATATATGCTATCTTGAATTCCTAGAGGAGGTAATAAATAAATAGTTTCATACTTATTTTATCCATCTTTTGTAACAGAGAAAATAGTTTAATAAAACAAAACAATGTTGTTGATGGTGACACGTACCATGACTTTAGTAAAGGTTTGGCAAGATCTCTCATGAGATCCCTCTGAACGAGACAGATAAATGAGAGCTAGAGGGTGAATATGCAATTGGCTGTAACAAGTGCATCCAAAGGATACTTGTAAGTGGTTATGCTTTGAGTGGGGTCCCCAGGGATCTTGACCCAATGCTATTCCACTTTATAAGATACTTGTAAGTAAACTACAGGATGGAATTGAAAGGATAATGGAATGGAAAAGATACAGACACCACTAAACTAGAAGCATTGGCTAACATATAAGAGGGCAAAATCATAATTTAAAATTATCTCCATACGCTTGGGCAATGCACCAAATTCAACAGGATGATATTGGCAAGGTCCTGCATCTGGGTAGGAAAAGTTAAATCCATAGATATAGGATTAGGGATGTGGCAGTGCATGTGGAAAGGATCTAGGAAAACTAGTGAGCCACCAGGTGAACAAGCATATAGCGCAGCAGTTAAAAAGGCCAGTGCAATTTTGGGCTGTGTTATCAGAAGCATTACATCCAGATCATGGGAGTTAATAGTTCTTTATATTCTGCATTGGCTAGATGGCACTTGGAATATTATGCATATTCTGGGCCCCATCATTGAAAAGGAAAAGTGCAACCAAATTCAAAGGAGATTTTTAAAAAGTGTCTAGAAACCAAGACCTTTGAGTTAAAGGAGCTATATGTGTTTAGCTTGCAAAAGAAAAGACTAAAAGGTGAGATAATAATGGACTACGAATATCTAAAAGGTTGTCATGGGTAAAAGGGGGGTAGGCTTATTCTTCATTGAAAATAAGGGCAAACCAAAGGCTTTTTTTTTTTTAAAGGAGATTTAATTGAATATTAGAAGACATTTCCTGATTGAGACTTTTTAAGCACTGGAACAATCTGTCTGGCGTAGCAGTGGACTCTCCCTCAAGGCTTTCAGATAGGGGATGGATAGGCACCTGTGGCCACCTGACACTGAGGTTTAGTAGATTTCTATACGGAATAGAAGGCAGGACTAGATTATGTATGAAATCCTTTCCAACTCACACTTTATATGATCCAGATCTACAACATGCAATGAAAAGTCTAAGACCCAAGAAAAGCAAACCTTTTACAGAAAAAATAGTGTTGCAACTCTGATTCCCAGTGCAGATCATGACCAAAGGTAGCACAACACACACTGGGTAATATAACCTTCCTAGAAAGAAAGGGCAGTAGACTGGAACCAACTTCCATCCCATTCATTGTAATGTCAGAAGAGATAACTTAACAGTCTACCTCTTCAAGACGAAGAGTAGCTTTTCTAAACGAAGTGCATACCTGAAAAAAATGCAAACAGAGCAAACTGGATACATTTATATTTCTGATGTTTAACTGTTCATACGTTAACATTAATCTATAACTGCATTATCCTGGAATATGAAGAGGTTAAATTCTGCTGGCATATATAATCATTTACATCATTTCCCCAACAAGGCAGAAAGTTGTGAATTTGTGTGGTTGACTAATCTCCAGTAAATTCCTTACTAAGCTTTTAAATTCTAGAAAATGAATCAAGTAAGATGATCAACAGTTATTTTCTAGAATGTTTCTCTAATCTTTCCACTCAGTTGGTAACTGCTGCTCTATCTTGGTTTACTTAATGGAATTCCAGCTTGCTGTTCTCAAAAGTATGCTCTGGGGTTCTACAAGCACTTGCATCCTCCATCAACAGTATTCATTATATCAAGGTCACAAAAAGATGTCTTTGTTCCATATTCGAACAAATGAACAGATATGTAGGCAGACAGGTAAATCCTGAAACTGTATAAACTTTTGTTGATTTGTAATTGCATCATATGCCCACTGCTGCTTGAGTAGGTAACTCTTTTTGGAAAAGTTCACATTAGATGCCTACAGCTGCAACTGGGGAAACCAATTAACCCAAAATTGGATAATGTACTCCACAAACATCCCACTTTATCCCTTAGCCTGATCTTGCTCTTAGAAGAGAATTTAAAGTTGCTCTTTCAAACTGTGTATTTGTGTATCTGCATGGAAACCTTGTTCTGAGAGACCAACTCAGCACCAATTTATTGTCATGGCTTTAATTTGGTTTTAAAGGGGTTATTGTTTTATTGGTATCTGTGTTTTGCTTTTGTGTGTGTGTCTAGGTGGTTGTTTTAATTATGTGAGGTCACCAGAGTCATGAATGTGAGATGGGCGGCTATACAAATCGAATAAATAAATAAATAAATATGCAACAAATACCTGATCTTACCATGTCATTGCGCCACCGCTGCACAACATTGTAAGCTCTTTTTGAAGATGGCAACAAATCTGAAAGTCAATGAGGTGGCAATCTAGATTCTTCTAATAAAACTCTGAAACATGTGCCTTGTTCTTTAAGAAACTGTCCTCTTTTCCCATTCTCTGTCCCCATATAAGAGAGGAAATTTAACACCTCAGCAAGGAATATATTCCTATTGGATAAAAACCAGAGATGCCTGTATCTGCTGAGCCAGGCATAAAACATATTAAACTTCTGCGTGAACACAGAGAGGAGCACACTGTTATGCAGGTAGGGCCAAGTGTTCATGGTCCACAGAACTTCCACCACAGGAATCTGCTCCTTCTCAACCGAGCTTCATGTGAAGAAGACAAAAAGCTAAGGAAGTCCATAGGAAGCATAGGAGTTTTAGAAGCAGAAGACCATTTCATCTGGAAACTTAAGAAAGGCAGAATAGCTATGATTTGCTGGTTTTTAAAGTAGTGCTAGGAGCTGTCCACCTGAAAGTACTCAAAGGCTAAGAAGAGTAAAGACTAACATCTCCAGCCAAGGCTGAGATCTTGGTAAATTTGTGGAGACTCCACGAAGTTTTCTTTCCGGTTTGTCATTGCTTTCTTCCGGATTAGAAAAGCTGTTTTCAAATCCCACTCTAGGGCAGTGGGATTTTTGGAATTTTGCACTGAACTGATTGCGCTTATTATGTTTAGGTTTTAGCACCAAATGACCAGTGACTATTAAAGATACTTTGCTGGTTAGCAATTCCCACTAACAGAGGTTCAGGGAATTGCAAGAGGCTCGTGTGCAAATTGCGGCAGGGAGATGCTGCTTGGGGACCACATCGTTCCCTCTGCCATAGACAGAGGACCCCGATACTAAAAAAATTGGCCCAAACTGATTCCGCAAACTGTAACATCTTCTCCTTAGGGCAGCCTTCCCCTAGCCTGATGTTCTTCAGATATTGTATGATGGACCAGCTCTCCTGCCGAGTCGAGTTTTCGGAGTGGAGGTCCCAGCGTGCTTGGGAGGGCCCTGAGGACGGGAAGGCTGCGCTAAGAGTAGGAGGAAGGACGAGGGCGGG